ACGTCAGCGTCGTGACGTGTCAGGCGTACGGTAGGTCAATGACTCGCCTAGTAGCTTGCGTCTTCAATGTCGCCGACTCTCGTGACGTAGGCGGAAGAACCAATACACATGGGCATTAGATAGATAAGTATACTATAAAACTAGAGAAACTATTACAGTATATCCAATAAAAAAAACGAGAATTCAAAATGCAAGAGGATCGTCTCATTTTTATTTACTTTAACGTTAGTGAAACTCATTAGCTCATAAGTTCAATTGATTTTACGTTAAGTTGAAGTAAGTTGAAGTGTTAAGACAAGCTTGACCATTGCAACAATGAGATGGTTTACAACGGTGTCCAAACATGCAATACATAATAATGCAATCAATACAAAAATTGTGCATAAATCAAAAGAATACATGGTATGCATTGGAAATAAAACATAAGAAATCGAAACCAATAAAAGTCACATCATAGCTGACATCGATAGCAAATCAAGCTTATCGGTAAATTTGTAGAGATTATTACAATTTCGATAAGTCAGCATAGTCTCAAGAAATCATTTCCAATGTGCGTGGAACAATGTGTAATTATTATTTCTAAATAAATTACACACTATAAGTCCAGACGGAAGTAACAGTAATATAGCAGGTTATTACAGCGACATTGGAATGTCGTAAAATTTTAAGTACGTTGAAGTACTGCTCGTAACGTATCGAATGACGTTTGACAACCATTAAAAATATGTCGTAATGGGAAATTACCCAAATGGTCGGTCGTTCACTGATACGAGACAAATGCCTGTGGTAATCATGGACTCTATTACGTCACTCAAAATTATAACTTTTTAATATTGTATGGTCACAAATTATAAGAATAATGATATTAACGAGCACACTCGTTACTTTAGCTTGACCAGTACACTTTAATTAAAGTTTGTGGATGCCTTGGGGGGCATGATTTTAGTGAGTAGGAGGTCTGTCGACCTAATGGTTTCGACTTTCGAGTTTCGACCACTCCTACTAAGGATTAAGTAATCATCTTAATATTAGTGGACTTACCACTCCATTAGTCACAGTGATCAAGTTTTTCACTGATGCTAGATGATAAAACTTATGGCTTTCGTATTTAGTTTTAATCAAACAATACGATCCACTTACAATTTGAAATGGTTAAAGATGTTCGACGACCAGACCATTGTAAGGGAATGGATCAAGTGGTCATCGCACAGCCAGAACCGTGGGGGTTGAGGAGGTCAAAGGTCGTAGTGGCCGTTGTTTCTGAAAAAACACCACATGAATAAATACAACTGCAATAAATAAATGCATTCAATTTGCTTGGTAGTCTGTTGCATTCAAGGATAAAATGAGACATCGTCCGTTGCTAATTGTGACGAAAGTTGAGGCAACAAAGACTCTATTAATGTAATTCCTTTGCTAAATGGTAAACACCATTAGGAATTGAGCTGCATCTAATGTATAATACGACGTGACAGGCAGCTGGGACCACGACCTTGGAATCAGCATGTGAACGTCTCGGGCGCTGCTGTACTGCATCGATGGCCTCGTGTTTTTTCTTTTTCTCTCCTCTCGTTCTGAAGGCTGCTTGCCTGCAGAGTGCTTGGCATTGCCGCTTATGCATTACGCGTCGTTTGCTTGTTCGCGCATTAATGTATCGTGCGTAAAGGTAATTATGGCTTTAGACTTTTACGCTTGCTATTATAAAAAATATCGTTTAAGACGGAAAGTTAAGATCTACCAAAGTCTTACTTCGTATGCCGTATTTATGCATAAAAAAACATTACTATTCAGGGCATGTATTTATGTATGATATTCATAAGTTTCACAAATCATACAAATGCCGTTATGCATGGGCATGGAATTATTTATTAAACGGAAGCGGCCGTTTAAAACGTAAGCTGAAGCTTTCGTTTTCCAAGTCTCCATAAATATAATCATTATATCAGGTAATGTTTGATAAAAATGCCGGCCCATATTCTTTCATATTTCATTATATTTCATAAATGGCTGCATTCGCTCTCGTTGCACTTGCATGGCTGCATGCTCGGCTGCAGTACATGGCATTGCGCGTCGTTTGCTTGTTCGCCGCGCGCTGGTGCAACGCACGTTATTGTAACTACATTCCTGCCAAAATCAACTATGGCTTTAAACCTTGTTAACAGTTCGATTTCTATTAGAATCTTGCAGGAAAAACTTTAACGTTTCCTATTAATAGCGTTTGTAGTCAGAACATTTTAATTATGCTATTCGTCCTCAATAAGACGTACAGTTCACTCATAAGTAATAACGATCTGATATACATCAATGCACGTTGTAATTGTCAATGCATCTATATTCATCAATTAACACACTTTTTCGTATACGAAGCATTTGTCAATAGATACATTCGTCAATGCACTTATTTATTTAATGCAGATACCTGTCGGTAACCGTAACTTACATGCGTTGTATGAGTCAATGTCATTGAATCGAACGTTCAGAGACGCCATTGCTTTCAGTGTCTTAAAACTCGTCTAAGTTTACAGCACATTATAAAACTTATAGATTCGTGAACTATCAAAGAAAATAAAACATATTCATAAGAACGTATCCACTATTGTTATCGGCTCTGGTAATTAGATTAATTAGCCGCAGTTGCTCATGATTATGTTCACTATCGTGAAGAAATGACTTCCTTTACAATCAATTCTCATCTCAAGATGATAATATTATAATCATAGCCTAGTAAATTATTATAGAGCAGCTTATTCGCGATCGTACGTTCTTCACGGTAACGGTTGTACGTCGGAATATTAGTTTAGCATCTCATATTTAAAATGGCTGGATAATGTGGATTTACTGCTTAGTATTTGACCTTTATATGACGTTATAAGTAAAATTGATGCATATTGTAATACGTCTAGGTTCTCTGATGAGTCGCGCTGGTGTGCCCAGGCCTCACGAGGTCAATGTGTCCACTCAGATTCTCAAAGCTCTCTGTACTTGAGTTCTTAGCCTTCACGTGTCGTTGCACGGACTTCGCTATATGTACTTGAAACTTATCCTCATGGATATAGTATTTGAACATGCGGAATATAATAATTAGATGGCAGCATATAACATCGCTATGAAAACTGCATTGATGCATGCAGAATGCACATTCCATGAGAAAAAAAAATCATTTTAGTAACAGTAGTAATGACTAATGAATCGTTTTACATCAGAACTATTCGATCATAGTCAGGGAACAATCGTTCCAAAGCGCAATAATATTATTATTTAGTTAAAATTGATCGCAGCATCAAGTTTATATTTTTAAGAGGGGTTGCAGTATCAAGTTTTATATGTAATTCGATTTCAACTGCATAATTTGCGCCTATCAGCTTCTTATTATAATCAAGATCAGCTTCAATAAGGAATCAGCTTCAATCGAGATCAACGTTATTGCGTCAGCCTGAGGGCATTTAGTTTTAGCATGGCTTCTCATGAAGTCATCGTAGCCCATATAATTAGTTATATGTTTAAAATAAATAAATGTAACAGGCTCATTTAAAAGGGAAAAATACTCAGCTTAGGTGCTGGAAGATCCCGACGCTTGCTGAAGTCCACACACGTAGATCGTGCGGAGATTCGTGTGGCACGTAGAGATAGATGCGCAGTAACCACGATGCACGTAGATCGTGGTATTCTTCTGGCGCTTTTTTCTTCATTCTTCCTCCTCTTTTTCTTGGACGCTTTCCTTGATCAAAGGTGCAGGGATTGCGTCATGATGTATAGTGGCGATCGTTGTGCTTATCATATAATCACTTATTTCTGGCCGTTGATACACTGAAAACGTTGCGCTTTGATTATCCAATATAGCCCGCACAATTTATTACTTAGCTGCGTTGAAGCAGATGCTGGGTCTTGTATAGATGCTGTAGCCATGATATTCTTCGTCGCTGAATTCTTCTCGTAGACCGTGTCGATGTCCGATGCTCAAATTGTAGAAGTAGTAGATGATGTAGAGCTTTAAATCTTCGGAAACTTCCCCTACACAGTATTCTGTGTGGTCATTGATCTAAGTCTGAAGGTGCTGGAGGAGTCGGGAGAATTTGTGCAGCTTTCAACTCCTCTTTGTTTTTTTTCTGTCACTCTTCCTGACATGGGGAATCGCACTGGTTCTCATCTAGTTCTCACTGGCCTCAATTTTTCTTTATCACTTTCAGAATCACTCATTAGTCAATTATGGCACAATGTTTCGGGCGTCAAATGTACTATGTTGACGACTCGTATGTACGCCGTGCTTTTCTATGCACTTTATTGGCGTATCTAATTAGTTATTAATTACCTGAGGCAGGTTCGGGTGCCGTGATCAAATGAGGATAAATGAGGCGCGAGTTAAGTACAGATTAGATACACCCACGACCTTGTGGTGAGCTGCAGACCACGCAATAGCCCCCACCACGTTGTGGTGAGCTGCAGACCACGCAATAGTCCCACATGACCTTGTGGTAAGCTGCAGACCATGACTAGGTAGACTACTGTGTCTACTAATTGGTTAAAGCATCACAAATAAGGCGGTAGAACCCACGAGTACTGGCAGAAAGCAGAGCGCCAGTCACTAAAGAAGATGCCGTTGTTTGTGTTTATTTCTTATTTACCGCGCTTCATTCAAAATGGAGAGTGCAATCTTATTTATGTTCCAAAGTTTTTATTTTCCTTCCCGAAATATAAAATAAAAATCAGAAGAACGTTTTTGCTACAACGCAAAAGAATGTTCTGCTTATCCAGTAAAACTTTTTCGTTTAATCTATCAAAACGTATTTGTTCTATAAACGTAGAGTTGAAAATTTCTATTTTAATGTTTTATTCATCATAATGCTCCTATATGCCAAGGAAATGCACAAGTGAAAGTCTAAGATGTCAGCCTATCTGTTATTATTAACACTAACTTCACCCAAACCGTAATTTAAAAGAATATGCTTACCAACATTGAGTGTGCGCAACGTCGCTTAACATTATTGCAAAAATTCACGCAGGAGCCGTGAAGATGTCGAAGACAGGATGGTTCCGACCGGCAGGGGTGTTCGAGCAGTTCATGTACGAGCTGTACAGGGACCACGGGCTGGTCATCAGCTACGTGCTGCGGGTCGCTACGGCAAGAGAAATAACTGGCGATGACGTCAAGGAGGTGTTCACGCATCTCTTCAGGTGGGGACGATTATTGTTCATCGTTACTAGGACTAGGACCTATGATTATAAGAATAGGAATAACGTTGAAACGAAAGGTACGCGTTACTCTATGCACAGTAATCCTTAGCAATATCGTGCTTCACCAGAGAGCGACCGGGGCTTTACTTCATGGAGGGATTCCAGAAATATTAACGAGAAGAATCGATGGCGAATCTTCACGGGTTCGCTGCAGGTTTCTGAGAAAGTCGATCAGCAGTATGAATGCGAGAAGGGTTCATAAAAATACTTGAAACAATTAAAATTTGTCAAGCTACTACAATAAACACTGCTACTACTATTACTATAAACACTTAAATAAATACTATCAGTCGATCAATTCTCCATCGCGGATTTCACCTATCGCGGCCGATGTCTGAAACGCAAGACCCACGATAGGCAGGGATTACCGCCGTGGAGAAAGGCTGCTCAAGCGATGAAAATCAATGCCGGTTTAGTTATTTTAATAAGTTTTTGATGTAGAGGGGAAAGAAGGAATGCGAAGGTGAATTTGTAGAAATCCTATAGATGGGCTCGAAAAAAATATCCGAAGCAGAATCATATTATGGTGCACAGTATACGTCTATCAACAATATGAAAATTGTGCAGATTCTGTGTTGTCGTCGACGTCGTGTTATGACATGTGTATGATAAGGACCGATTCCTTATGACACGAGAACTGATCCTTCAAATTCTCCGTTGAGATACAAATATGGGCCTGAAACTTCTGAACTTGCGTACCGAAACCGAATTTCCCTTGTTTGACTTAGTTTCCGAAAGTTTGACTTAGAATCATTTGACGATTCGCTTCACTGATCAACTGGAAATTTTTTATTACTACAATCTTATTTTCAATGACAACATTATGTCAACATTGGGATCATTTGAAGTGATCGTAAATTGTAAATTTGATTGCTGGCACTGGTCGAGCATCGAAACAACATTAGGGGAAATGAGTAAGATTTTCTTCAGGAGTGATGGACTTTTTCTCCTTGTGTGGGTCATCCTCACTCAATTTAGCCCGGCAAAAAGAGCGTATCAGTGCTACGTAGAGAAATTATGGCACTATTAGGAAATTTTTACCCATCCGATTTACTGAGTGAAGGCTTATTTTACTTACCTCACCACAATAGACGATCATGTCGTCCTTATTCAGCAGCCTCTAAGCAGCCTCTCAACAACGCTTTAAATCCTCTCAAGTTTACGTCGAACACTTACGTATATACCTATACTGGAAGTGTTCTGTCGTAAAACGTGTTATTCATGAACAAGCAGTGTGTATACTGTAAATATAATGCACATGATTTTTGTCAATTACGAACATGGATAATGCTTTTAATCAATTGAATAATTTTGTTATGAGCTCATAAACTCACAACGAAATTGTTTCCTGAATTTAGTAAATGAACGTCTCATGTTTGGTCGAGAAGAACTGATGGCGCTGTTATCATGCATGGCCTTCAGCATCACACTGTTTTTCTCAGGAAAAGCATTCAGCCTGCGCATCTCTACTTGCATTGTAAGTATTCTTTGGGAAACCTGACTTGTGCCACAAGCGTTCTCATGAAATTGGACTAGAAATATCTTATCATAGCAACCCATTTTCCCCATCTAGGATCGTAATATTAACAGTCACTTAAAAACATGTAGCGGCAGAATTCTAGTTGTGATTGGTAGGTTTGGCTCGAAATGTCGCCGGTTATCTTCCGATGGAGTCACAAACTCTTGACTATTTTTTATAGTACGGTCCGTGCTGTACAATTTCTGTGCAAGCTCTAGATATCACATATCAGCATGTTTATCAATAGCAAATGACTTAGTAGAGAGCAATCGAGTGCCAGCTCATGAGCGTGCATTTCAAGCACAACGCGCACTTCATGGGAAGAGTCCTTGAAGAGATGAAAGAAACATTATTGCTTTTTATAAGGAGAAGACTTACCGACCTTGATGCTCAAGAGCAGCAAACTGCGACGCTATCTTGATAATAAGTTCCAAACCTGCAGCTTATTTTTGGTGGCCAACTTAAGGGGAATTACAGAGAAATTATAACATATTAGCTAATGGCTTCTTCTTAGATGAAATTTTGCTAATATGTTCAAATGCAAAAAATTATCAGGTGTTACATGCGCCTTTGAATAGAAAAGACTTGAAAAATCCGTTGGCATGACAGGGAGTTATCACAAATAAGGTTCCATGCAATGACTCTAGACGCGGTGCAAGTCATGTTGACGGACAGTCAGCATTATTTGTATGCATGTCTGAAGCAGTGGACTACACTCGCAGAAGATAAGGGGGACTTTGTCCAAATATTAATAAAGATACTGCCTTCTTGCGGGTCACCATGACCCAGTTTGGTCAGCCAACAAGCGTATTTTCGCTACGTAAATTTCTGCTCGTAATGTGGGTAAGAAAATATGCATCAATATATTGACAATGACTCATTATTTTTCTCAATGTTGTAGATTACGTAATGAATATTAGTACGAATGCAAACCCTGCAGATAGGCTCGGAAATCTTTCAGACCAGAAATTCTTGACCAGGTTTCATCGACTCACGCACCAACAAGTAATTTAGATTTTTGAAATCACTAGTCTGCTTAAAGGTTCATCTGTTGATGTTCATCTGGGATAGGAAATATGCCGATCATAATTAGTCTTGTTCTCTGAACCCACCTTGCATTGAATGCCATCGACAGGAAGAATGTTTGTCGCTCTAATTAACTATAGACTAATTGGACTAACTAATTAACTATAGAAGCATATAATGTCTATGAATGACTATTATATATTAGGTGGATTGTGTTGCGCGCAGTATGATACGCGTAGTGCTTATCTGTGTCATTAGTTGAATGTACTTGCATCTCGCCCAAGTTGCAAATGTAATAGAATTTTATTCTTGTATGCTAGGTTCAATAATAAACGATGTAAAGTTTGTATTTATTGTTTTATTTGTTGTTGGATGATACTAACTAACGATCGCTTGAATCCTGAGCGGAAAAGTATTTATGAACGTAATTCGCTGATCAAATTGTAAATAATGCTAATCTGTAGAGAAGAAACGCGCATTAACTACTCACAACCGACATGTGGAACAGCCTCCCTGATAGCATCGTTGACGCTCCGAGTATGAACGCCTTCAAGAACAGACTAGACGAAGCTATGCAGGAGCATATGTTCAGTCTTAAAATGCCTAGCAAATTACGGACCAGGCAATAAGTCCAGCAGCTATCTCAATCAATCGTCAGTTATGGAAAGATCGGGTTCCAAAGGCCGGATCCCTTGTGAATCAAGTCACGAAAAGTTCAAGAATCGGCAACAGGCCATGGGCCTATATCTTCAGTGCTGACACTTCTATTCTATTCTAATACGGCATGACTTATTAAAGCCATCTCAAATTTCGGTTACGAGTGGGGCCATAACTCGGTTACGAGTGGGGCCATATCTCGGTTACGAGTGGTTCCATATCTCGGTTACGAGTGGGGCCATGTCTCGGTCACGAGTGGGGTCATATCTCGGTTGAGTGGGCCGCTCTAAAAGAGTGTGATAGCGGCTGATGGGCCTGTGGGGTTCGCGCGGCCGATAACAGAAAATAAGGAGATCTCGTACAAAAATACAAATACGCTCGGTGAGCCAGCGCACATTTACAATTATTAATGTTATGGATCATTGTCAAGGTTATACGGTTCGTAAGTTTAGGATGGATGCAATTATAAAGTCGGTAATATCAGAGAATTTATTAACAAAGCATAAAGGGCAGTCTGACATAAATATGCCGTAATTCAGTAATTCTGTATTCTATAACGGAAGATTAGAGACACGTAATAAGATTAAGAGCTTGTGGGTTAAATAGGTTCAGCCTAGCTGTAGGTCCGAACTGTCACAGAAATGATCCTCTTAAATAAGTTGTGCATGGGCTTATCCTTGTCCATTTCACATATAAGCACTTCAGATTACAAGAATTTCACAACACAAATGAGTAACAAGTTGGAGTGTGTTGGGAAGCTCACTATTGAAGCGTGGGAGAACGTAATTTGATTTAGGCGCCAGGCATTGAAGTATTGAAGTAAGCATCGGATATGTAGGTTCATGAAAGAAAGTGTGTTCAAGTAATAGGGACGACGCATGCCCTTATACGTATAAAAATTATGCTGCGGTGTTTCAGTATATATATTAAATGAAATTGCTGCGATTATGATGGCTTTATTGTACTTCTCTGAAAAAAATGATTTTGAGATTACTCTAAACGACATATTTTATATAATAATTTCGTCTGTATTGTTCACTCTCCAATGGCCAATTCATTTAAGCGAGTCTAAACATGAAATGTGAATTCTCCATCAGTCATCGCAGAGAAATAGTTTATTTACAATTAAATTTTAAATTGAATTTAACAAATTTACTTCAACATTTCTTTGGATAACTAACTAGGCCGTTAATTATATACTTCGCACCTCAGGAAAACCATCAACCTGAGGATGGTCCCTGAAGAGCGCGACGGCGAGCTCTGGCTCAGGGAGCTGCAGCGAGAAGACATCGACTTCCAAGTGAGTCATTCCCTTGACTCAAGTGAGTCATTCCCTTGACTCAAGTGAGTCATTCCCTTGACTCAAGTGGGTCATTCCCTTGACTCAAGTGAGTATGGCAGGCAGGACATGTCGCCCTCTTAACTAATTCTTTTATAAATCATCGTCTGGTAAATCCACATTTTTGAATTATGCTCCATCCTATCTATTTACAAATCTGCTAAATCGATCTATAAACATTTATAATATGATAGATTTTGCTGAAACAAAGATAAATTTAATGCGCAAAATATTGATGCGAACTATATTTTTCAAAAGGGTCTAATATCGCTGTTAATAAAGTAAAAATTTTCAGTTTAGGACTGTTTACTGATTATAGTTGGCTTACCAAAAATAAAATTGTTAGTTTTTTTAATTCAGTAGAAAATCATAAAAGTGCTAGATTATGATTCAACAGTTTAAACGCGTACAATATGCTTTCTGATTATAACCTCAAGTCTAAATAAATCAACCGCATCGATCTGTCTTAGCGTTACGAGAGGGACTTTTCGGATGCTATAGGAACAGGTTTCCTCCGACGAGGAATGTATAGGTATTGTTTTCTCCAGACGGCGATAAGGAATGTATAGGTATTGTTTTCCCCAGAAGTTGACGAGGAATGTATAGGTATTGTTTTCTCCAGACGGCGATAAGGAATGTATAGGTATTGTTTTCCCCAGAAGTTGACGAGGAATGTATAGGTATTGTTTTCTCCAGACGGCGATAAGGAATGTATAGGTATTGTTTTCCCCAGAAGTTGACGAGGAATGTATAGGTATTGTTTTCTCCAGACGGCGATAAGGAATGTATAGGTATTGTTTTCCCCAGAAGTTAACGATGAATGTATAGGTATTGTTTTCTCCAGACGGCGATAAGGAATGTATAGGTATTGTTTTCCCCAGAAGTTGACGAGGAATGTTTAGGTATTGTTTTCCCCAGACGGCGACGAGGAATGTATAGGTATTGTTTTCTCCAGACGGCGATAAGGAATGTATAGGTATTGTTTTCCCTAGAAGTTGACGAGGAATGTTTAGGTATTGTTTTCCCCAGACGGCGACGAGGAATGTATAGGTATTGCTTTCTCCAGACGGCGATAAGGAATGTATAGGTATTTTTTCCCAAGAAGTTGACGAGGAATGTACAGGTATTGTTTTCCCCAGACGGTGGAGGACGCGGACGTGAACGCCGTGTATCACGACATGGGTCAGTATCGCTTCAACCCCGATGGCCCCATGTGGGCGGGCCGCTTCCTGCCTCGGGCGCCGAAGCAGGACGAGTTCATCACCAGCACCACGATGGAGAACACGGACGAGAAATTGAAGAAATTGCCCTACGTGAGCCACGTGTTGATGACATTCCACCACAGCATAGCAGACGGGTTTACGTGCCTGCGAATTACACGTCACTTCTTGATGTTACTTGACGATGTGTTAGCCGGCAAGCCAATTGATGACTCTGAGCAATACGCCCAGATGATCGACATCAAAAAGCAGACTACAGTACTGGAAGGAGTGGAACGAACTCTCAAAGCAGATCCCGATCTACTTGAAGCCCGACTGCAATCTCTCGTGGATTCTGTCCCAGACGCTCTACTGAGCAAGGTATACCCGCAGCCTTCGAAGAGAACTCCGAGAACTGTAAGTCTGCCACACATTTTAGACAGCAACACTACAGCAAAATTTACAGCCCGCTGCAAGAAAGAAGGGATCACATTCCACACGGGATTCTGTAGCGTGATGGACGCTAGCATAGTCAAGACGCTACAGGAACGTAACTTGATGCAGGAGACCTACAGGATTGCAGGCCATCATGCTATCGATCAACGCTGCTATTTCAACGACGTTGAAAACGCCTACGGCATTGGAATGGGCATCGTAGACGTGACCTACGATGTACCGAAGGACGTCATGGAGAATTTTTGGAGTCATGCGAAAAAGTATCACACGAAATTTAAAGACCAACAGAACCGAAAAACCAGCATCGAGCACCCAGTTATAGAAAAGCTGACGGGACAGAACCCATTTTTCCTCATAGATTCAGAGGGTTTGGATTCTCCTCCACCCAAAATAGGGACTTACGGCACTACGAACATGCGAGACGTGACCAAGTTCATAGGCAAGTGCGGCGATAATGTCGACCTGATCTACTATGACCGCTTCACGTCTGTGCAGGAGTTGTACTTCAACTGGTGCAGCACCATCCAGACCTTCAACGGGCAGCTCATGCACTCCATGCAGTACAACACTCAATACATAGAGGAATCGCTGGCTAAAAAAATTGCCCAGTCAACGTTCCAGATCCTGAGAGAGGTTGTGGATAAGCCTTAACCCTCTACCGCAGAATGTCACTCTCCGGGAACATGACTTTCACTTTACAATATACGTAAACTATTGAGTGTAGCGACCTGAGGACGTTTGTATGCAACAGAGAACATTTGAACAAGTTGTCGTACATGGCGGCAACCATCAGTGCAAGTCATTTTGCGCTCACTAGAACGTATCCTTTTTGGGAAGTAGGCTTGTGACAATATTGCTCCGGTTACTCATGTCAGGCGTAGATGGTTAACAACGACATTTTAGTATGAAGAAAAATCACCAATGTCAGAGCTCAACTGTAATTTAAAACCAAATTATTGCAGAATAATTATATTTACAGAAATAAGTCGTCAGATAGGCGATAGAAATTGAATATGGGGGACAAAATCTTGAAATTAAGGATTATTCGCATTGCTCATTCCTTAATAAAGTTCAAAACCTTGTACGCTCCTCAGAATAGTCTTCCATCGACGAACTCTTATGAGACTTGTCATCCAATGTGCCAAAAAAGTTAAAGCAAGCGAAAAAAGTTATACTTAGAAAAATCTCATGCAGAGCAGAATCAAATGGTTTGAACGAGAGTTCAAATACGCACAGATGAATTACATAGAAATCATAATTTAGTAATTTCGCATCACACTAGAATAATAATTGAACCAATTGACCTTTCCAAGTTTCATCAATTAAGCAAATGGATTTAAAGAATGTTACTTTTTCTATCATAAAACCCATATATTTACATTTTTCGGAAATCATTTCTATCGATCGCCTGTGTCATTGTATCTTCACACTGCCAAAATAAAATATTTTCGAATAATGTTCTTTACTATTCATATAATTGAAGTTATGCCTAATTTAAACATTGAAGAAGACTCATGTCCGAGGTTTAACTGATTTGGCTGGGTTAACATAATAATAATACAGGATTGAGGCTATCAAGGGCTAAAGAATGTAGATCACGTGAATCAAGACGCCCTTCACTAACATGTCATGCAATTTTATTAAAAAAAAACTTGAATTTGTCAGGGGAAGTCTATTCTACTTGTCTATAACTGGAAAGACGTTTTCTAGACTAAATTTTTTTCTCTACAATGATAGGAATTTTTTTAGAACACATATAAATGAAGCACCAGCCAAATACGGGAGAAAATTCAGTGACTGAATTCTCAGCCTGCATTGCAACTCCACAACCAAGTCTTTCCTACCCAGCGTATCAGAACACATTCACGGTCTATGTTATGAAACGATAACTGCATCTCTGTAAGTCTCACAGCGGCACTCGCTATGCAAAGTTTAAACCTTATGCTTCCAATCATTCGAAGATAGTGATAAATTTAATGCTGAATTTATCCTATAGAAAAGAACTTATAATCAAGAAATAATATGATTCAGATTCTGTTGGCATAGTTCCTGCAGAGGTCAGAGCTTGATCTTCATCGCCGGCTGATCCCACCTGGAAGGAATTCAATTACAATATTACGAACAAATTTTCTCACCTCAGCAGCGTGTTACGAGTTTGAAATCATCCGCAACGTTTCAGTGAAAAGTTATTGAATAAAATAGAATTTGTCACGATAGAGACTCCTAATATGGTAGATGAGTAATTTTTTACAGTGTCTGAGAAAAAACTCGTCATGGAGCTTAACTAAACAAAGCACCACGACCGTCGACATGAACGCAAGATCAGAATAAACCATGAGGTTGTCGTGGTCGCATGAGCCATACTGATACATTTAACTAGCTATCTAATTGAGGCTTGCTTACTTCAACGGTTCTGTAGGCACATACATGATCGCTGTACTCACCATAAGAAAAACGCCTCATTCAAAGAAATTAAATAAAAACCTCATTGCCTGGATTACGATATGAAAATCACAGGTTCAATACACAAAGCTATTGAAATCAAAACAATACTAATGAGGTGAATGCAAATATATTCCAGGGGTAGAATTAATAATGCTCAGTTTTGTTTGGATGTTTTAAACATAATCGGACAACATTGCCTATTATCCCCATGCTATTGACACTGGCCATGCCTGCCCTGGATCAAGTGAGGCAATGAGGAACACATTTCTAGGCACCGTCACACCACCCAGGCACCTAGGTGGTGTGACCTAGGGCACCGTCACACCAACTACAGTAGTCAGCAGTCACTGACCATGCGACGAGGGCGCGCTGAGAACGAGGCAGCACTCGTCTCGCCGTCGTGACGAGCTTCTCGCACGTCCGTAGCGTCGCCGCCACCTTCTTCTCCAGGTCTTCGTCGTGGGCGTCCACCTCCGCACACAGAGCTGCGCGCCAGGTAATTCATTTGCTTTTACTTTTCATAGCGTCAGGAATTATTCTAAGAACTAATAGCTAAGTTAGTCCTGCCATCGACTAATAGCTAAAATAGTCCAGCCATATAGACTGGTAGCTAAGTTCACCATATAGACTGGTAGCGATTATCCCCTCCTTAGATAATTAACTTATAGCTAATCTTCTAACTTTAATCATAAACAGTCTCATAACTCTCATTCATCACGATCAAATGTCATGAAAAACCGCGGTTCCATTTCATTGTAATTTATGATACGAACTGCTAATTAGGAGTCGTTTTTTCCGCCACTTGACATTGGGTGTTTTGTAAGGAAAATATTTCATGATGTCGAGGTGAATTGGGGAAATTTAATTTACAGTCAGAGTTACAAGATTGGAGCAGCGAGCTGTGAGTTCGATGCCAGCTACCTGCGTCAGTTCTGGTCAAATCGGCGAAAAGGCGAGGCGGTTAAACAAAAGCAAGATTGTAGCAATGAGTTGCGTGTTGCAAACCCGCAACAAGATGTGAATTATCTGCGATGTTAAAAATCGGCAACAGGTCTGACGGCCTAGACAACGCTGACACTGCTAGTATAATAATTTGTCAATTTGATTAATCAATTCTGAGCTAAATTTATTAACACGATATTTGTGGTCATAAAATCAATTTCAAAATTCGATACCCAGGGCGTTTTGAATTAATTTTAGTGTCAGTAATTAGAGATAAATATAAATCAATTTTAGTTTAATTCATAAATTAAAGACATTAAAATAAAAAAAACTTATTCATTTAATTGCCAATTCATAAAAACGGAAATGAAGAACTAAGATCACTCGATTGCTCAGATCGCAAATTAATCAAGAATTTAAAAGCAAAAAATAACAGCCAAAAAATTCACCGTGTCTTGTGATAGAAAACGTTTCGGAGTTCAGCTCCATCGTAAGTTCAAAATCGTATAAGACAAGCGGAATCAATTAGCGAACAAAAATTCACATTGAAGACAAAAACCTAAGTTGACTAAAGATAAAGATAAACATAAGCATGAGGTGACATGCCAATCTATTTGCAGTTTCAAAGGGATAGGAGCTGAAGGCGACATTTAACTAGGTTTCTATTTAAAAATATTCAGGGATTCTAAAATTCGCAGATTAGAAACACCGATCGTGGAAGCTAAAACTCTAAATCACTAGCGGACACAGGGACTTACAGTTTCCGGCTTTTTAATTCCTGTAAATGAAGAACCAATGCACTTGAAAAGCAGTGCACATAAGTTGGTAACAATAGTAAACAAAAATCGTGCAAGGAAATAAATTGTTTTCACTGTAACCATGCACGTTTATCAAACTTATTGCGCCTTACCCTGGATGGCAGCGGACGTGAGCGCAGGCGTGGCATTAGAGCGACACGAAGCTTGCGTGTGGTGAGCGTGCAGCGTGCGTGCGCTCAGCGCAGTCACCTGATCGAGTGCCTGGCATACGCAGGCGCAGACGCTCTCCGCCGTCACCGCGCCCAGCGAGTGCCCCGGCAGCTGCAGCACACAAGTAAGTCTTCGTCTAAAGCCACCAAAACCTCGCACGAGGCCAATATCACCAATTCGGGAAACGTAAAATGAAGATATTTTAGTTAATGAAAAATTATCCTTACCTAGGGCACCGTGATAAATGAGAAGTAACCAAACAAGGTGCGGCAAAAACAAAACAAGTTTCAGGTTTTGTCAGCACTATGCATCTACGGCACAAACTTTTTGCCGAAGATAGTAGCATCATCTATTCTAGTAACATACTGATGAGTATTTCATACAAAATACTGTAAAATACTGATGTTGTTGTCAAGCGATTGCAATGGGTAGTTATTTAACATGTATCAGCCAATATTCTGGATGGAATCAACGTGACAGCAGATAAACGCCCCTCACCTTCTCGAGAGCTCGCCGGAGCCTGCCTTCATTGAGGATGACAACTCCAGTTCTTAGGTCTCGTTCCAGCACCACACTTTGGCTGAACAAAGAAAACAATGTTGACATAGGAAAGAAACCTCAAGTTAATCCTTGACTCTCTACCTTGGAAAATCATGGCGTGTTTTGTGACAGAGTTATGAGAAGTTACCTTGAGAACGTCGATATTCTTCAAATTATTTATCGATTAGAGAGGAACCATTATATTATTCATGTGTATATTTTGGTGTGGATCACACAGCGTCTGGCCAGTCTGACGGTTTCAATAACGAGGAAATCCACAGAACAAACAATAGATACATAACATAGAGTAATTTTACAATGGCGTACATATTGCTAACAAAAAACTTTGTGAATAAACACTTGAAAATATGATGCCTCTTTTGAGTACCTACCTGTTGGACAAGTCTTACTCCGAGTGCTTATATCAAATTTAGAGTCACAGATTCAATTCAAAGCCAAGTCACAGCTCATGAACCTCACTCATTCAGCTTAAGCGCCTTCAGCAAATTCATAGGCAGGGTAGCAAGTTCGTGTATCTCCTGCTGGAGGCGTGCCATGCTGAGGGTGGGGGGCGGACTTGACATCGCCTGAAGGCCCCTCGTGGCCGTACCACGGCACACGGACGCGTCCTCTGTCATCGCCAGCAAGCAGCTCTCCTTCAGGCGTCCCACGCACTCCAGACGCCGGCGCTCGCCGTGCTGCACAAGATAATAAATGTGACTGGAATCTTTAAACCATACTTCTGAACTAATCGGTTGTTGGGACGCTTCTAGTGCAGGCACATTAGCAATTCATTGCCAGATATAGTTTTCGGAATAAGAATTCCAACCAGTAGCTCACAACGTGGAAAAAATACTTTCTAATCTTAGCTTTATTTGTTCGAACGGCGATATGATGAAGTACTTTTCAAAATACAGTGAAGGATATCTGCCTTCCCATCCATAAACTCACCACAACTTCCTCGAGTGCAGAAGTTTGGTTTTGCAGCCGCTGCAGAGCAGTGGCCTCCTGCTCTGCAAGAACTGCCTCTTCCTGCAGGCGCTTTGCAATAGCGTGCAGCTGCTGCAACGCTGCACGTTCTCCTGCAGCTGCAATTGAATTCTGCAGCAGCGCAGATAGAGCTGCACTCATGGCAGGATTGATAAACTTGTGCTGTAAATAAAGCAGCAAAATATGAGTACTCCATTCAGCGAGAGAAAGTCTAATAAAACAATTCATATACAGAGTCGTTGATTCCAAACTGATAGAACAACTAAATTTCTTTATTACTCGTTACGTAGTTTCCTTTAAAGCAAAATCGGCAAAATCGAACCCTACACAGTGTAACGTCTTGGATGTTTGCTAGGGTTTTGAGTGTAATAGTTGCGCTCCACACTTTTCAAATGTGCTGCAAAGAAAGAAGACACTTCTCGGGAGCTGTCCAGCATAAGGTACACCTGTACCGTATCCGTATGATACACCTGTACTGCCTCCGTATGACTCACCTGTACTGCCTCCGTATGACACACATGTACTGCCTCCGTATGACTCACCTGTACTGCCTCCGTATGACACACCTGTACTGCCTCCGTATGACACACTTGTACTCCCTCCGTATGACTCACCTGTACTGCCTCCGTATGACTCACCTTTACTGCCTCCATATGACACACCTGTACTGCCTCCATATGACACACCTGTACTGCCTCCGTATGACACACCTGTACTGCCTCCGTATGACACACCTGGACTGCCTCCATATAACACACCTGCACTGCCTCCATATGACACACCTGTACTGCCTCCATATGACACACCTGTACTGTGTCCATATGACACACCTGCACTGCCTCTGTATGACACACCTGTACCGTATCAAGAAGGTGCTCCGTGATGGTGTTGCAGGCGTTGAGGTGCTTGTCTGCCTGTCTCCGGAACTCCTCAGCCCGGATGTGTACCTCAACATGAGCCGCGCACATCACCGCCAGCATCTCCTGCAGGTTCTTGTCCAGCTCTGCACCAAGCTCTCCTTTGTCTCTCAGATCTTCCCTGTAATAGAGAGTTATCAGCGTGAGAAAGATGTTTCTAGCATTCTTGCATTAACTAATTTGATCATAATTACAACATTGATTAATGCGCGTAGATATTTAGATTAGAAGAATCATTATTAAAGCATAATGATGACCATATAAACAAGTAAACTAAAAACAGAAATCATGAAGATTAATGCTTAGCTGAAGTCATTATGCGGGGAGAGATTTTATATTTTAGGTGCGTACTTTAGCATGGAAAGTTAGTGCATTTATTAGCAATGTTTATTGGTTAGGGTTAAGCTGATATTTCCTGACATGTCATTAACATAATTTCTAAACATTTTCATTTCTGAAAAGCCGTTGCCAAAGTATAGAACAAAACGAACCACACTGAGAAATAATTTATTTTGTTCTGACATACAAGCATATATATTTCCTTATTTTTTCTTTTCAAAACAAAAATAATCCTCCAAGCTTAGTCCTAATTAGCAATAAATATCAAGATAATTTTCAACGATACCAGGAAGATACTCATGCGTGACAAAATATCACACCAGTCATTAGGGAATTGACAACAAACGAGTCGATGTTTTAAATGAAATTTTAACATTTCAACAGTAATCAACATCAGTAGTAGGTACTATACTATTACTATGTAAAATGAGATTTTCAATGCGCATTTTATAAGTGAGAGCAAATGTGAAGGATCGGAGAAAGTCGGCCCCACTCTCCTGAGTGGCGTACTCATTACGTTCGTTTAGCCCTCATCAGACTGCATAACTTTACGCTATAATCGTACCGAGTTCCGAGGGTCTTGTACATGGGCAATCCAAAGGGAGGTTAAACTGGGCCAGTGTTAGCCAGTATAACTGGCAAATACAGGGTGTTTCAGAATTAAGTAACCCTTTTAATTTGTTAATAAATAAAAACTAAGAACGTTATGAAGTTGAAACTTGTTTTATTAAAAAGAAGAACATTTTCATGGTAATATTGTATCATAGTTACGTCATTATCCTGTATAGCTTGCTAAATTTGTGTTTAATTATCAAGCCTTAAATTTTCATCATGATTCGCTACAGCAAAGAAAGAACAAAAATTATCGCTACAGTCAATAACGATGTCAATAACAGAAGTTCAACGTGATTACAGGATCCATTTCAAAACAAGGATCCTTCAAAAAACACATTTAAATATCTTTATCGAAAATTTGCGGATATCAAAAATTTGCACTCTCGTCAGAAACACTAATGAAGGTTATGAAAGCAACGAAGAGAAGAGCCCTATTTTGTCAAAACAATTGTGGTGGGCATTTAAAAGATATTATATTTAAAAACTAGGATACAATATTACCATAAAAATGTTCTTCTTTTAAATAAAACAAGTTTCAACTTCATAACGTTCTTAGTTTTTTATATATTAACAAATTAAAAGGGTTACTTAATTCTGAAACACCCTGTACTAACTGCCATTAATTATCGGACTAGCGCTCTCGTGTAGCAAGGACTGTTGCAGTTGCCATTAGCGAGTGGCTAATGTGAAGCCTCGTGTATAGGCTTGCATGCCTTACCATGAGGTTCAGTTGTGGTCAGTACTAGCTGCCACAACTGGCCGTGTTTCAAGGCCCAGAGACACCGCAACACTGACACGAGCGGGACGATAGCCCACCCACACAATTGTCTCAACAATCACGCAGTCCAACATCACAAGCCTAGATACATCCCTGCTGAAGTTCAGGTATTCACGATTTGTTTTATCTTGATCCTATTTATATTTATTAATATATGAATATTATCCAAGAACATATAGTATATTTACTTATGTATTACTCGTCAGCATGTCTAATTTTCATTTCATCTATAGTCATTACAGGCCTTCACAAGACCTGAGTGAGTGGATTGCTGCCAGCGGGTTGGCAGCGGCAGTGAGGGAGCGCACAGTGTCAGCGTGGCAGCGGGCACGTCTGGCGAGAGCGCTCACAGTACCAACACTTGAGTCGCCGTCCCGGTGATCATTCACTCGTGACCAAAGTGCTTGCTGTAAATCCAACTTACATCAAGTCCCATGTTACGCTAAATTCGGAATTCGATGGTAAAAAATTTAATACCAACGTTATACACAAACATGATATTATTCAGGATTAAGAGGTGCGTGCAACACGCTAAAAACTTTGTGCTCTTCAAAGCAAAAGAAACTGCAATAGAACATTACTCGATATCTAACTGGTGGAGTGGTCGACCAGAAACTTGAAAGTCAAATTTAAGTCAAAATAATCTACATACATCATCGATCGGGAATTACTAGAAAGCAGCTCTACTTGGACTCATAAGTAAAATTGGGTTGAAATATGAGACTAATATGGTCATCATGAGATGTGTCCAATATAATCAAGTCATTATGATAGACGAGATTAGCTTAGTCTAATCCTGGCTTGGAAAACAGAAGAATCAGATATGATTTACGTATTTATCGAAGCCATTTCACCTTAGCTTGCAGCAGGCTAGCTCTGTCATCATCATTTTTGTGCAGCAGTTGTAGTCGGAGGTCACAAATATTCTGAAGTATTTCATCCAAACTGCAACCCTGGAAATAGAATTGACTTCAATCCTAATATTCCAAAATGAAACACACAGTAAAATTTCTATGTATATTTTGTAAAAGAAATGCGGAACAATTTTTAATTTCTAAATGGATATGGAAGACTAATAATATGTAAAATACTCATGCTCAAAAATTTACAGTGAGAAGCTCCTATTATTCAAAGGTTTCATAATAGGTTCACTAATAAAACTTAAAAAAAAAGACAAATGATCATATTTAGTAAAAAAAATTAAATTCTTCATTTAAGCACATGATTGGAAGGCCAATAAAAAATGGATCAATATCAATCTATATTTTATTTTATATTAATCATAAGGCTACAAATATATAACTATACAGGTAATTATTCGGTATCACAATTTAATTACGTGTATAACGTTTTATAGATTTTTTTATTAAACTCCTAGAGGCCAAAGTTTCATGTTCTCGAGACAGATCAAGAATGATGGCTCTTAGCTAGCTTTCACAATGCCTTTAGCTACACAGCTAGAGTGTCTAAATAATTTAAATACTTTCGCAGAATAGTGAGTCGCTTTCTCACCTGTTGATCTGATGTAGTATGTGTTTTCTTTTTCTTTCTATCATGCCACTTCTGTAAGATGTACTGCACATTATGCACTTGTTGCAAGCACTCCCTGGCATCAGCTGTCAAGTGAGAAGTCACCGCCTCCAGCATCAGCCGCTTCTGACGGTCTTCACTGAGCTTAATGCGAGTTTGTTCAGTTGCTTCACCTGGCCACACAGAGTTTATTATATCCCTAGAATTGTTTGAGAACAATGCAAAGAGAATCTATTAGAAAGAATAACACCATGCTTTTTGGAATATTAGCCTACCATTGATACTAACTCCACATTGTTTAACATAAATCAAGAGGTTTGAAAACAAACAGAAACGTTGGTTTTGAAACACGAGTCAGTGACCAAAGCAAATGAATTAGAATTCAAAACAAAATAGCTCCAACAAAAAAAAATGAAAGAACTTTCTGAAAAATGTAACAAAATATTCAATCCTCGCCATGCACAGAAGATTCGGCATTAACTTGAGTATGAATTCTGAATGTGATCATGCTTATTCCCTCAAATCCATTGCCAGTAATACAAGGACCTCAGCCTCCAAGACACATATTTGCCAGTTTTGTCTTCCCCCAATTAATAAGAACTTCAAGCATAAACATGCACAAGACGATTGTGAAGAAACTTTCTTTCTGTAGTGTCCCAAGATCATGCAATTTGCACTTCCTAAGGAGGAATCTAAACTGTGTGAACAGCCAAATATTTGAAATAATATAATCTAGAATACCATATACAATGAAAGATTCAGCTATTACATAAGATATTGTTAGACTGATTTACAGGATAAGTAAGGCTCAGTAGGCAGGGATAGGTACTTTAAAAATTTGAACTGGAGAATCTTTTGAGAAACTAAGATTTTAATTAAAATGTGATTATCGTCCAATAATGGCTTAATTACAAGTTCTGGCAAGTTGAGCAGCTGCCTTAGCCACTGCTGCCTCGGCATGTACCACTGAAGCTTGCTTGAATGATACAGAGCCAAGATGGCTAATATTTCCAGATTCTTCTGCTGTTGTCCATTTCTGAAAACAAAAATTTAGCAGTTTAAGTGCTAAGCCTTTCCAGTGTGTACATAAATATGTGCAAAGAGTGTAAACTTATACATATAATCACTACAACAAACCAAGCAATTATTACAGATGATAGTTTTTAATGAGCTATAAGATGATAGTTTTTAATGAGCTGTACACAATTAATGAGTGGTATAAGTTTCCTACTACCGTAGTTTCACATGATCAAAGACATATTGCATGTTATGGTGAGCATTCCCCGCAAAGTTCTTACCTTCCTGAGCCTGGCTATCTGTAGATTGAGGCGCACATGACGGCAGTGAGAGGCAGTACCCACTCTTGTTGTCATGTTTTTTAATGCCACTTTCATTGCAGGCATTACACAAATTCTGTTGAGAATTGGGAGCTCAATTCTAATGAATGAAGTATATACAGTAAGAAAATTTTATACATTCTCTAATAATATAAAACATTAATGAAATTGTGCGGTAGGTACCGCTATTGAATAAATTTTCTAAGTAGGTAATAAAAAAATTGACACTGGGCAAAGGTAAAGGCTTGTATTTTCTTGCGATTAAGTACTGATACAAGATTCAGAAACTTTATTTCAATGAAGCAAAAAGTAGAGCAAAAGAATTTTTATATTTATAATTATTAATCATTTAGGGTTTTTAGGCCAAGCATCAAATTGCAATCTACCACCTGACTTGGTCCTGACCTAACTAACTGAGCTGTGAAATGTGCACAAACTTTCTGTGAATCTCATGTCAAGTCCCAAAAAGTGAAAAAAAATATTCATAGCAAATCAGATAGTAGGTATAAAATTGTTTAAAAATATCTGCCACATGTTCTCTTCTAGCTCCATCTTCAGTGACCAGTAATAAAGTTTCACCAGTGCCCCAGTTATAGTAGATAAAGTTATATTTATTACTGTTATTACTTCTGAAAATGATTTTTAAATTAGTGATAATTTCATGGCAATTCTGATAAACTTCTGATGAACAAGTCTGATAATTTGTAATTTCTTAAAAATGCTCCCTTGCGCACTCAACTACTCTGCACCCAAATATAAAACATCATGATAGGAAAAATAATTATAAGAATTTGAGTTTAGAGCCAATACCTACACTACTTAAAACTCACTGATTGAAAACTTTGGGCTGTAGAGATCCCACTTCTCGATGAACATTATGACCTTTGATGAGGGAGTTGGCCCAGCTGTTCAACTCCTTAGGATCCATTATAGATAGAATTCAGTTGGCCAGTTGCCGTCAACTTAGAGAAAAATTGTGGGCAGTCAGATGTTTGCTGAAGAAGAAAAATTTTTAGGATTCAATGAAGCAATAATAAGAATACACTACAGATAAAAAAATTTTCAACAACATTTTGGCACAGATAAATTTAACAAATGTTATCCATTTAAACACACCACAGCTGAGCACTGCAGTAATCCTTTGTTTTTGTGTATTCAAATTTCATTGACTGATTACCATGGTTTTTCTAAGCGGTCTCATTGCATTGCAGCTACCTCATGGATATTGAAGAAAAATCAATGAAAAAATTGCAAGAGCTTAAGGGGCATTCTCATTCCTGCACAGGTTAGATAGAGATGACAAAGAAAAGACTAACATTATGTACTCAATGCAGTGATTAGCCAGCACACATCACACAGCAGGCTGTGACAGCACATTTGTATTAGTCTCAAATTTAATTTTTTAGTGCAATTCATTTGTAATTTTTGTTCCTGATCCTCTTAAGAATGTTAGACTATGCAAATAATGAAATGGCACCAATGCTGGAGCCTGGAGGTACGTTTAAAATATAAAAACTTGCTTAATACATGAACAATAATAATATAATAGAGGTTTCAGTGTTTATTAGACAGTAGGCCTGTAGGACAGTAGGCTGTAGCCGATTCTTAACATTGCAGGAGCACCCCGGCACAGAAGTGACAGAACGTTCACAGCTTGATGCGATCTTAAACACACAGCTCACTGCTCCCATCCCATCCTGGCCTGTTTGCCTATTCTGACCAGAAACTGGCGCACAGAGCTGGGATCAAACCCACACCTCTCTGCTTCAATCGTGGTACTCTGAACTTTAACCAGTAGGCTACTGACTAAGGCCACCCGTGACCCAGCCCAGGCCCCACTCTGAAAATGAATAAAATGAAATTCATTGCTTATATTATATGCAGTTGAACAAAAAAATTCTCCAAATTATAACTTAAATTTTCAGCTTCTAAGTGAAAAATTTTCACTACTTTGGAAACTCATGGCCCATTTGGGCACTTTTATTTACAATTAGCTAGGGGGCAATTCATCCAGGAATCCCATGGTTTCAAAATGGTGAGAAGCTCTAGTTGACCACTTGACTAGTTGTGGCTTGAAAGGTAGAATGGTAGATACCTACCATATATTCCGTGCCTTGGTGCCTGGCTTGATATTAGACATAGACGGTATTATTGCAGATTAACTACATCCAAAAAAAAGGGTGTTTTTTTTTTTTAATTATATGTTTTTTGGGGTGTAGATTACGAATCTGAAATCCATTTTTGGCGGTCGGCATCGGAAAACCGATTTTTTTCGCGACTTAAAACGTAAGTTACGTAACCCCCATGTTAGTAAGTCGCGAAAAAAATCGGTTTTCCGATGCCGACCGCCAAAAATGGATTTCAGATTCGTAATCTACACCCCAAAAACATATAATTAAAAAAAAAAAACACCCTTTTTTTTGGATGTTGTTAATCTGCAATAATACCGACATAGACCATTATTTTATTGTTGCCAAAATAGCAAAATTTATGTAGGTACTGTAAAATAGGATGACTAGATCTAGGACAATTTTTATCACTCATCTTTTTGTGATTCAAATGGTCACAGCGCCCATCCTTATTGCCCCGTTTGATGGTACAGCTGGCAGGCTGGCAGCCACTCGAAATCAAATCAATTAGGCTAATCAAAATAAGCAACATTTTTAACATAATCCTTTTTTATCAATGTAAAATTCTGTTAGAAGTACCCAAGACAAACATCTTTTTCAGCGTTTAATTTTAATCTTTATCTTCCTAAGCTAGTCTGAATCAATCCTAATACGAGTAGGTAGTGAGTACTTGCATTAAAAATATTTTTAATACGTATCTGGAGTACCCAACAAAACAGGCTAATAAACATCAAACTTCTTTCTTATGTTAGTACCTTGCCACCCCCGTCTTTTAGCCGTAATAAATTTGCGAGTTTCATTGACACCAGCACCAGCGATTAGTCCAAGGCGCCAAGCATCATAGTTTTGTACGCGGTGGTGCGAGCACTGCACTACACTCTCCAGTCTCCATGGTAGGTAGTTGCGTCACGCGCCAAATTTTCGAAGTGAATTTTATTGTAGGCTATTTCCGTTCCGCAAGTTCAATATTATTTCAGCGCAAATTCAAGGGTTGAAATGTTACAGAGGGCGGATTAAAAGGAAAAGGCATTTTCCAAATTGCAATAATTAAAAAATTGCTAATGCATTTTTGAACTTTGGTAATACGTTCGGATTACATCCTGTTTTGTTTGTTTGTTCACGTCATGGTAATACGTTTTTCAGGTCTACACCTTGATAAAGATAAAAAAGCTAGAATCCGCTCCGAGTTTCTTTCTTGGAGTGAATGTCCGAGACAGATTTAATATAATTTACAAACTTCTGGTAATGTCCAATAGGAGCATTATCTTATTTAGCTTAAACTTTATCGGGTTAGATTTATGGGAAAATGGTTTTCACTCTATAAATTCTGCAAAGGTAACAATTAATCCCAGATGTTTTCTGTTAAACTTCTCTACTAGAGCAAGCTTGAGGGCATGGCAGCCTATGATGTCAAGTGCTTGAAGTGATATCGCAGTATCTATGAATATTGCTCAAGAATATAAGGTTAGTGCAAGATTGATTTTACACTCACAAGATCATCAAGATAGAATAAGCTGAGTATGGCCACAGCCACCACTCAAGCAAACTCAAGTTAAGCATGGTCATAAACATAATGCATCTAGTCTAAACAACTCAAGTTGTTACATTTCTTCACCCAAAATAAGCTTAAGCAGACCTAACCTCAATAGCTGCAGGAAGCTCGTGAGGCGAAGTAAGTAACAGCGTTGCCAGATGGTATATTTCTACACCAAATTCCACAAATCTGGTATTTTCAGCAAATGTCTGGTATGAATATTTTAGATCTGGTATATTGGCCTAAATCTGGTATTTTCTTGCTTACAGCAAATGTACTGCATAAAGTTCCACCTCAGAAGTTTGGAACTTCCTCCAGCGTAGGCGTGGATTATATAGATTACCTTCAGAGCGGCGCCTACCTTTCCCGCCATTTTTGTACCCGCAAATTGACCGCTTGATGAAATAACCCCAATCAAATTCGCAACATTTAACAAAAGTGCTTAGTGCAATATAAGCACGAGAGTGATTATTCTAGATTGATTAATGATCAGTGATGATATGGCCTAGGACGAGTCATCAGCAGAGATCGGTCGTATAGCGTCGTTTTAACTAGTTTTGGTGAACACAAGGACACAGAAAAATGTCGGGTATACCAATAGGTGAAGAATGAAAAGTAAAATCAATCGCAATCTGAAAAAAATTAACCAATTCATGAAGATTGATGTGCTAAAATTTCCTTCTTCAGAACTGTTTTAGCTGAATAAACATGGAAGAATTCACGTGATTATCTCATTTACGTGTGGATTCAAGTTGAACAGGCTACGTGGAAGCCCATAGGAACCGAACCAGGTGATCCTGTCAGTTATCTCGCTGTCCTCAACACCACCTTAATAGATCTTTCAACACGAGATGAAACCAAATGAATGAAATAAGGATAACATACGATAAGCACTAAGAGCTTTGCAATGGTGCAGTGTAAATTATTGTATTCATCCGGATTCTGTACGCACATCCTATAACATCCATCTTAGGCATCCAAAAATGTACAAAATCATGTAAAATGAATAGACATGGAACGTCTCAAAAATTTTATTAACACCCGAAGACAGCGTCCACAGAATACAATACGAAGCATCAGCCGCCGCGGTAGGAAGCAGAGTACCGATCTAAGTAGGATATTCGAGACTATAAACGATAATTGTACGTTTTTTCTAGAGCCAAAGACTCCATAGCATCAATTCCACCTACGAAACCGGACAAAAATTAAATATTAGACATAAAATCAAGAATTTTGCTGCCTTTTAAAATGAGTTTAATGAAACCCGAGAGAAAAGCTTATTATCAATCGAAGAAGAAGGCAAATGAAGAATTGTTGGCATCGCACGAAGGACTTGGGAACGCGTTATCACACGAGAAAAGACCAGCAGAGGATGGCGACCAATTTGGCATGATCCATTTTGATTATGATATTGCGAGGTTGTCAGAATGAATAACGTACCAGCCGTTCTTCGTGAGGGGCAAGGTAAGTCTCTAAAAAGCTCAACTGATTTTTATTGTATATATACATACAATATTACTTAGCACAACATATAACAAACGACACTAAAGCTTCTCAGTGAATTCAAAGCGATATATTTAATGAATTTAATTAGGCGCGTACATTAAAACGGGGTATTAAAATCAGTCCAAAAATGGCACAAATGCATATTTGAACAAATTTCAGCAAAGGATCGAATATTAAAATAAAAAGGTTTAAATAACATTTATTAGCAGCTTATTTGAGAGACCATTTACTCTCACATGACATGGTCCTGGTCATTTTTGTTGTTCATTAGAAGAACAATGAAGCCCTACAGTCGAACACAAACTTTTTCATTTTATTGTAACGATGGAGATTTTCGAGGTGGCACTCTTCCAAACATTAAAGTTTTTGCAATAGAATAAGACACTGAAGCAAGTTGTCAAACACCGCTGTCGGAACACATGTGGTGCGCTAAAATCACGATATTTAGTCTCTCTGAACCGCCTTCATGTCAGCGCAGAAGCCTGATAACTCTTGTAGCCCGGAAATTTTTGAACGTTGAATACCAGGAGAAAATGCTAACCTTTTTAATCCTCTTTCTAAAGTCCAAGACAGAAAAACTGCCCCTAAACAAAGAAAGTGATCAACGACAGATTTTAAATCTTTTGTCTCTAGGAATTGTGAAGTAAAAGAAAGGGATTTCCGTTCGTTCATGGCCAGAGAGGTTAGAAGGAGATTCTCTTTGGAGATGAGATAAAAACATACGCCAAAAAACACAGAATGAACTTGGAAGGAAAAAATGTAACACGATTCAAAACGAGCGTTTTCGCTGTGAGAAGAGCAACGAGCTTTGCAGTTTGCGTTCCGGCGCGAGCACTCTTATTTAATATAAAGATTGGGGTGCCGGTAGCGTAGCTGGCGAAGTTCATTCATCCGGAACTTATTTATCCAAGAAGGTTGGAAGACAAATTTTGAGCCACAAAACGACCGGAACTAAATTTTGAGCCACAAAACGACCGGAACTATCTCAGAATATGGAATATTCCCGTGAATAAAATTTGCGGAAATTGGCATAAAAATTACGTTGACTTAGAAATATATTTTTAGCACACGTGAAATTTCTTCCATTTGGCCATAAATTTTATTAACTTTGAAAAAGCATTCTTTTTTTTAATACAAGCAGATTGCAACTCAGACGATGTCAGCGTATTAAATTTTAGGCTGCAAATACCGTAATAATTCAATAAAATATTAGAAGCTCACAGTAAACAATAAATAACCTGTAACTATACATTTTTATTAATTTTCACATACTTGACGAGATCAGCGTCAATAGCCCAAAGCCCAAAACAAATCTTGTAGGCGAAATTACCAACAAAATTACAGTTCATCATTTCTCACATGTAAAGAAAACATTCTCTTTAAAATGAAACTGGTCAAAAACTGATGGAAATGAATTCAAATCCACCGCCCATGTTAACGACCACGACCACTCTGTTGGAAAAGCATCGACTACACCAGATGCAGAACACAGCCAGACAATCCATCGTGGCACAACAGGGACTGTTTGAGTCCCATGAGAAGACCAGGTAAGTAAACTGTATACCTGCATCTTCATACACAAATATTGAATGCAATTTTGACCTGTATCATGGAATTAAATTTGACTGGTTTGTAAGAAACCACTCGTTTGCCACTGCGCTTCGTGCCGCGTCCTGAGCTGACAAGTGCCAAGGCAGCGCGGGAGAGGGAAGTTGACGCTTGTCGTTAGCGCGCCGAGATACGCAAGGCAATAGAGGACCATGCGTTACATTGGCGGCTGAGAGAACAATGAAAACTCCTTTCTTGAATACAATGAAATAATAATTGCTACTCTGAGGCAACTAAGTAGTAGGTTATCTATTCGGTGGTGGAGTGGAGCATAATAGTAACTCATTAGATGAGTAAAATAATTAAGCACAAGATGCTAAAAGGATTTCATTTGCTTTTACATGACGTCACCAAAACACAGGTTCTAAATTTATAACGAGACGAATTGTTTAATGGGATTTCTAGTAAGTTCATAAGCGCCAAGCGTTCGGAGGGTCGTTACGTCAGAGCATCAAAATGAAGCTGCTTCAACGATGAGCTAAATTATCAATATCTGTTAGTCACTACGATTATAATATAATTTGTTAAAACTAGAAAGCAATAAAGCTGATAAGCGTCATTAGTCGTGTTACTTTCTCAAGAGATACCTAGCGATAAAAACGAAACAATTTTAAAAAGCAGTTAATGAAAAAACTGAAGGAATTCGACGGAGCGTTAGCAGGAAATCCACAACCATCATAAAGAACACTCTGACGTGACCGCGCAATGAGGCTGCGGCTTCACACATCAATGAAAGAGTAAAATAGGAAAAATATGAAACAACTATAACAAGGTTTAATCATGGGAGAAGTACGAAACAATATTTCTGAATCAAAAGTAATAAAATCGTGAAAACTGCGATAAATAATGATAGCGACCCAGCAGACACGGGATGCGAGAAGTCAATAGTCCCGCCCTTCTAAACGGAGATGTGAATTTACAGAGCACGCGTACAAAGGCGTGTAGAGATAGAACAACTTACGTGACAAAGTTTCGAGTAACAAGAGGCGAGGATTCATTTACCGCGCCGGCAAGAAATAAGGTCAGCATATAAATTTTTTATGTTAGTATGAATATAAAGTGGGTAGACTAGAAGAATAAGGGAGCTGAGTAAAGCGATGGGTTATGAGAAGCTTTCTCCAGCTCATTTACGATGTGTTACGGTGGAACTATCTGGAATAGAAAACTAAAAAATGCACTTACAAAAATATTAAATAAGAAATGCATTTGTAAAATATGATGTATAAAATGTAGTTAGAACCTAACAAAAAAAAACAGAACATAAGAAATATTTTTAAATCGAAATCCATACAGAAATATGGAGACATAAATCCCAGCACATTTTCTTCCAGAATTACAGAATTTTTGAGTTGATAAAGCGAACTGTGCAGCCATGGTTGGCGCCGCCTGGGGCGGGCGTTTCAAGCATTAGAAGTATTTTAAAATTAATAAGAGGAACTGAAAACAGAAATAAGAGTAACTATAGATTAACTGAAAAAAAGAATGGCAAAATATAAGAAGTGAGTGCTGCAGCAGCAGTAACATCACAATAGCTGAGGGTAACGCGCCACAATTTCAACTGCTCCTGTAACTAATTGTAACAGCAGAATATTTGAAATTTATGATCAATGACTGGAAATAGACAGAAATAAATTGGGGGAAATAAAGAACTAAATTACAACTATTAATCGCACAAACTACTTAAAAATATAAACTACAAATAGGAATGGATGGAAGTTAACGAAGCGTATAGATATGTAAATGAATAGAAATAGTATATCAATGGAATGGATTAACATATCCCCCATGCATAAAAAAATAAAAGGAACGTTGGCAATGGAGAGCAGAGAGCTAAAGTACATGGAACATATGGAACGCTAAGTTGGACCAATGCATTGTTGACATCTACAGGTACAGAGAATCAATTAAAGTACTCATTTTAAAGCCCACCATGGAATGCAGCTAATACAATACACAATTGTTTGGAAAAACCCTGTGTATAAATGCAACAGAGATGATTAAGGATGGAAAATGGATATTTTAAATCAATGACGATCGTGCACTGAGTGGACTTGTTATTATCCTTAGCTGTTCTGAAAGGAGGCTGTTCGCCACCTTGCATACCATCACTAAAACTTTAGTTAGATTCAAAATATATCACTCCAGAACATTATCATACACGATGTTACTTCAAGGTTAACTATCAGTGAACAACTGAAACATCGATGTACCTACTGACAACATACACTGATTGTACATATGTTTAGGAGTTTCGTTCCATTATAATCAAGACAGGAATATATGTTTGTTTCCTGGAACATTGTTCATGAACAAATTTAAAAATTAATTAAAAAGCCTCTGAAAACCTAAATCGAATGTTTCAAACAAAAAATATAAAGGGATGCTAAAGGATGGACGAAGTACAAAGACTCGAGCTCAGTAACGAATTAATGGCTGAACTTCGAACTACGATTGCTGTAGCTCGCAAATAGATATAAACTAATACAAACTAATACAAATACAAACTAACACAAATAAAAAAATAATACAAATAAAATTCTTCAGAAGCCACGGAAATGTATAATCTTATATTTTAAGCAGTGTTGTGTCAACATGTTATTTGTATAACACAAAAGCACAATGTTAAAAACTAAACGAAGTGTTCGTACTTCAGATAAATTGCTTACATATTTGCATGGTCATTGCAGTCTTCTCGTACCAGAATATTGACACTCGCCTCGCACCACGAGGTGAACGCTATGAAACTGCGCAGCGTACGGTCATGCAGCACTACAATGAAAGCTCACTATAACACGCACGCAAGTTTGTTCATGCAGCGCCTAAACAGCTTAGGATAAGACGCATGCATGTTTATTCATGCAGGAAATCTTCATCATCGCAACACCTCGCAGCCTGCGATGCTCGTCGCCGCGAACAAATCTCTGGTAGAGTTGCAGGCTGGGCAACGATTTAGCGAACAATTGCACACAACAATCTCGATGATAACCTTATTTTAAAACCATCCAGGATACCCGTTAACCTCAATAGCCGCAGGTTTTTGGGACTGTTTCGTCGTAATTGTCGTATTATATTACATCATTTTATTTAGGCCAATAGAGATTTTTTCATCACATACGAGAAGCGTTTCTAAGAGCAACAACCATGATCTACAGCCAGGAACGTCGGACATTTTGATTTGTTTTTACCAAATAGACATAACTTATTAATAACATCTAGCCGCTGATAAAGTTAATGAGTTTCGAAGCCAAATCATCCTAAGCACAGGAATTATAAATAATTTTAACCCAAAGTTCATTAACTAGGTATTTAACATACAGACAAAAATCAAAGCCTGTTGTTAAGCAACGTACGGAAGCAAGTTTCTAATTTATATTTTAAGCATAAGCGTCTTCTCGACTGAACCAAGAGAGAATTTAGGAAAGATTCTGTTAAACTAGTGCTACGTGCATCTCGACTGCACGCTTGCCTTAACTATAACATGCGCATTAATTACGAACGTGTAATTCTAATAGAGAAAGCATCACAGCTGACTACGAGTTGGGAGAATCTTGTAAGGAGTTCAATTGAGAGAAACAAATGAGGAAATTAATCAATTAAACTAGAGAGTAGTTATCGAAATGTTCGAACACAAGGAAAATCAATTAGATATTCATTTGAAAAAATAGTAAAGTAGTACGGGAATGTCTAGTGTAACTTCATTTTCAAATCAATTGAAGAATGTAGTTTCGTTTTCAAATCAAATTGAAGAATGTTGTGCAGAAACTTCATGCAATAAATTCATACATTACAACAATATGCTTTTCCCGCAAATAACGCAAGACATTAAATTAAGTTCATTAGCTTCAAAATTAAAAAAAATTCAGTTATGCGTACGAGGGAACAAATGAACAGTGTAAACCCACATCAATTACGTAAATATTTCACGATTAATGCTCATCTCACGGAGTAGAATAAAATCTAGTGCAAGTCAATAACAGTCAGCGCCGCAAAGTTCTACAAGTTACCGTTACTTTTTATTATCAAATATCATAAAATATCTTGTACGACACCAATACAATACACTAGGAGGCCATTACGACTATCAACAGCTATAAGCTATGTTAACCACAGTAAATATAATCCTTTTGTACGGGGTTCCGACCCCACCTATGCACCCCTAATAGGAACATGGCACGTCTACCGGCGTTACATAAGTCGCCACTAGTTCGGTTTATCTCCATAAAATGGAGATTCGGTTTATCTCCATAAAATGGATGATCCATGGGCAGCGTTAGAGTTGCACTTACATCACCAACACTTAAAGCTACGTCACTAGCACACGAAAGCCCAACGGCCCTACACAGCGCGAGGTGCGAACAGTACACATCTCTTGTAACAAAAATTATAAACTGCACCAGTTTGCCTCGGCTCAGACGGATGTGACACTTTGGGCCCGAAGCTGCCTTGGGCTTCATTGTTGCAAGGCTGCACAAATGTCGTATCTAAGAGCCGTCACATCTGCGCGCAGCGTAAGAGCTTGCGTACATCACTAGATAAAGCCTTATTGAGTAATGTCCAATAATAAAACCGAAATGTTACTCGTTGCGATTGGCATTAATATGCACCGTCAAATTGGCCACGTCGAACAACTAAATTATCCTAATTATCGTGATTCCTCGTTTGATTTCATGAATTGAAGAAAACTTAAGGAGCCAAAACCAGTCAAGCAATTGATGGTCACACAAGAGAGCTCCCTAACCATCGATGCCATAGCAACAGTCATGTATGCAGTCATCCAAACAACGACCAATAATCCACAAGAACTCAGCACTTTAGAAAGAGAAGAATTCTATTCGCTGAGTTGAGCGCGAAATGGGCTTTTATAAAAGCCGGTTGCTTTAGTTCGACTTAACATCCGCACCCGCCACAACCTCCGCCACATCCACCACAACCGCCACATCCACCATCACCATCTCCACCGCCTGCATCGCTTGAGCTCACGTAGCCAAAGGGCGAGCTGTCGTTGCCTCCCCCGGCAACACCGGCGAACGCCGATAACAAAATCGCGCCATCGCTACCCATGCCGTCCATGCCGCCGTCGCCCCCGCCTCCATCAAACCCTCCTCCGTCACTCATACCGTTGCCCGCCTGGCTGTTCCCCCACAGGTACTGTGGTGGAGCACCCAGGACGGATGCCACACCGCCCCCGCAGCCTCCACACCCGCCACACGCACCACACGCGCCCACCAAACCGTCCTCATAACCTCCATCGACCACATCTTCTTGTCCTGCGTCGCCAGCGGCCTCGCCGGCATCGTGCGCGGCGCTGACCATGGGCAGCAGCAGCGGGTAGTGGCAGCCGCTGCTGCTGAAGCGGCGATCGCGCTTGTAGCGCCCCTCCTGCACAGCGCTGCGGCTCAGCTGACGTCGGTACTGGTTGGTGGGCGCCAGCAGGCAGAAGAAGCCAGCCGCCGTCAGCAGAGAGAGCCGCTCCACGGGTATTCGGTTGGGACGGTTATCAAGCTCGAAGTGAGCAGCGGCCGCAGCGCTGTCGGTCACGTCCATCAGAGCCTCGACGCGCGGCTGGCACAACACGTGCAGCACTGTGATGGCGAAGCCCAGGGTGATGTGCTCGATGAACTCTTGCTCGTCCGTCTTCACCTGCAATGCAGCAACAGGAAGGGTAATCGGTCGCCAGCTTAAAATTGTATCATCCATCAGAGGAACATTCAGAATTGGTAGTGTAATATAGAAAAAACAAGATACTATTTTTTGAGCTTTGTCATATCAGAAGTTCCAAGTCCAAGAGAGCTTTGAGTGTCTCAGAAAATCTGTTAGTAGCGTAACCGAATGAACAAAATGGTTTCCTAAAGCTAGTAGGAAAAGGTAATTTAACTCAAATATGCTGAGTTATAATGCTGAAAACTAAATCGAAAACTAACAGTGCAAGACTCATTAATTTGAGAAAAAGCACTGTGGGTGGCGTACCGGTATATATATATGAGCTTCATGTATAAAAGAAAGATGTATAAAGTCACAGCCAGGTTCACATGACTGCTGCATATGTATATGGACATACCAAAACAGTGCCATTGTTTAGATCCATCCAGCAACTGCGGACTTGGAAGTCGAACTTAGACTTGGAGTAAGGCAGGGAGAAATGCTCGGCAGGCGAGTTGACGGGACAGTGCAGACGAAGCGTCAGCTCACCGCTGCTGCCTGGCACGCCTCGTCTGAGGGGACATCGTCCATAAGAATAGAAAATTACTTGCGGGATAGAAAAAAATACTTAATGATATATAATAGCCTACATTTATCATTACATAAATAATTTATCATACGGATAGAATATTGATTAATGATTATTTTTTATAACATAGATTATTTTTATCATTTGTATAGAAAATTACTTATTAATTATTTATTATTCGTTACCAAAGCACTGTGTAAGAGTACCGTATACTCTGTGCAAGAGCGCAGATGCTGAGAACCAGAATTTATATTAACTTTAGTAAATCTTAAATCTTACAAATCGAGCCTCAAATTTTCGAGAGATCAGTGAAGAAAAGAAAAAGTCAAGGTATAAGTGGAAAAGACAGTCAGCTACATTGCTTGAGTTGAAATGAACTCAGCGATGACTACATTTCCAGGGTTATAACTAACCAAAACTCCAGCTAAAGCTCCAGTAAACATATTGTTATCGAGTAAAAAAGCCGTTGTCTCTAAAAATATTTGTCTCGATTAGTTCCTCAAAAACTAAGTAGACGTGTTGTGCCAACTGTGATAGTCAAGGTATGATATCTAATCAGAAAAAGAGAGAAGAAAGAGGGGGAAGAGATAGGGAGAGGGAGGGAGAGGGAAGGACCCACTTGTTGAGGGTGCCAGGGGTGCCCCTCCTGAGGCCGGTCCATCGGGCCACGACGATGGCCCAGTCGCTGCCGCCGGCGCCCTTGACGATCATGGCGCGCTCGCCTGCGTCCCAGTCACACATGGCCACGTGCGACGACTGTACCCAAGGGCAACAAATTCATTCTTAGATAATTACACTCAGACTGTCAACATTTACAAGGATTAGTCCATAAAACTTAAACTTCGATCTGTCTTTAATTGCTCTGGTTAATCCCTATAGTTTTAATGCTAGGCTCACTAACCTGCCACTTGTTGTTGGTCATTTTGAGCATGTGCGGTGTCTTTAACTTAATCTTCTTAAATTAAACTTAATCTGTTTTTAATTGCTCTGCTTAATCCCCAAAATTTCACTGCTAGACTCACTAACCTGCCACTTGGTGTTGGCCATTTTGAGCATGTGCGGTGTCTTTAACTTAATCTTCTTAGCATAACAACAGGCCATGGCCTATTTCTTCAGTGCCGACACTTCTATTCTACTCTATAAAACTTAAACTTAATCTGTCTTTAATTTATCTGGTTAATCCCCAAAACTTCACTGCTAGGCTCACTAACCTGCCACTTGTTATTCGTCATTTAGAGCTTGTGCGGTGTCTTTATAGGTATTAATTTATATTAATATGTCTTTAATCGATCTGGTTAATCCCAGTAACTTCACTGCTAGGCTCACTAACCTGCCACTTGGTGTTGGTCATTTTGAGCATGTGCGGCGAGGGCAGCGTGTTGGGGTCGAGGGTGTGCGAGAGCGCCACGAGTCGCAGCGCCGACACCTCCTTCTCGAGCTCGGGGGTACGGGGCTCGCTGCTGTGGTCGAAGGTCCAGGGCATCACGTCGCACGCCGAGTACACGTGGATGGTAGAGAGCATCAGGGCGCGTGAGTGGCTTACTTCAATCTTGAAGATCTGGGGCTTGTCGGGGTGGCAAGTGTTCACCAGTCTGCGAGTTTAAAAAGAGAGGAGTCAGCTGCAAACTCGTATAAAACTTGTTTTTGCTGACGGCATATACCTTCAAAAGATACAAGAGGAAGCTCAAGCAGTCAAGTCAAAATATTATTTCTCGACCTAAGATGGTCAACCCAAGAACTGAACTGATAACTTAATAGGTTCACTTAATTATAACTATCGTACGGTACAACTGATATGGACATGAACCTGAACTTTACAAGATTACCAGGAGATATATTCTCAGTGTTTTGCTACTTAGTTAAAAACAGCCACTAAACGAGTGTTAACGAATGGGAAAAAACCTGTGAGTAGCCATGTGAACATCGAAGGTCTCCAAGCCATCAACTGAAGGGTGGTCTTCAAGCACTGGATTGTCATTCAGTTTTGACCGATCACCAATTTCATCTGCTTCGAGAGTCTCTTCATCGGAAGACTTCTTCAGTTCAGATGTGGGATTTTTAGCTTCGACTTGCATGCACTTCTTGTGCAGGTATGGGCTGTTTTCTAACTGCACGATCTGCTCCTCGGTAGAGGATTTAGCAGAAGATGTTGCATCACCAAGACCTGCGGCGTTGAGCAGGTTCTGTAGACTCGTTGCGTCCACATCGTTCATGAGCTGCGGTGGGCTCAGGGACTCCAGTGGAGGAGCAGACGGCTGCTTGGTGTTGTTGTTACTGAGGTGCTGACTGCAGACAGACATGCCTGTCTGTGCCGTCAGTTTGATGACAGGCACCTGGACGGGCGTGAACGGCCCAGTCAGAGTAGACATGTTCACCCACATTGGTGTAATGTGGCGTTCTACCTTCACCGTCAGTTGTAAACAGTGGCCTTCTTCTTCGAATTCCTGAAGATTTTAAATAAAATTACTATATAGATATTTATACTTTGGTTTTCACGGACCTGAAACTTAAATTGGTGGAACAATTTTTTAAAAATTAAACGTGCATTTAAACATTCCATTTTTGCTACGTACTGATAATCTAGCAGCTAAACCCTTAATTCAAATTGAAAAGTTTTACGGTCGATATAGGGCACAAAATAACAATAGTGAATGAAAAACTCAGTTAAAACTTCCAGAAATTAACGTAAACTTCAAGGTTCACACAATATATTATCCATTGAAATACAATATAGTTAGATGAGAATTTCTACAAACTAAAGTGCATCCACAGCAAATAGAAAAAGCAACATAGAACAGACTGCATAAAGTACTAAAGAGAATAACTTGTATTAGTGAAAGGCTCGTTACCTTGACTATAACGTCACCAGACTTGCACATGAAGAGCTCACTGAGGTCCCTCATGCACCAGAAGCGACCGTGTCCAAGTTTGCTGAGCAGTTTGCCAAGAGCGCGATCAGGAGCCACCTTCACAACCAGCCACTTCTGCACCTTGATGTTCTCCAGAGCCAGGGTGAAGCCAGACGAGCTAATGTCGTGTTCACTCTCATTCCCGTCATGCTGGAGAGTCAGGTCGCCAAGAGGATGAACTTGATGGCGAAACTTGACTTTAAGGAGACCTTCAGGGAACTTGCCCTTTAACGTAACTTTTAGGAATTTAACAACAAAGTGCGGGATGCGAGCAAGATTTTGGAGCTGAGGAGGAGGAAGGCTGATATATGTACTTGGAGGATCGCCACGATACATGGCACCATGGCGATTAAAATCTTCCCTCCATGCATCTTTCCAGAGCTTTCGAGTGATACCATCGCTGACCATCAGCTTGGAGCCAGTTTCCCTGTTGTTCACAGAGTCATCGTGAGGCAGCAAGCAGCCCAAGAAAGCAACTGTGTCGTTATAGTAACTGAGAGGATGAAGTTGATGGGCATGCCACACCAAGTCCATGTCATAACAAGGAACCAAGAAATTCTTGGGCTCCATCTTCTTGAGATGCAAGAACTTACGGTAACGCTGGATTGCAGAGAGCAAGAATGGACTAGTACGGTAGTGGGCCAGACGAACTTGGTAGTAGAAAGCACTCTGGCGACCCACTGCCTCAAGAAGATTGTAATGAATCTTGGATGGAGTAGAAGAACTAATTTGCTTTGAATATTTTAAATCCAATTCCCATGGGTCGTGAGGGTACACACTCTCCCACAGTTTCTTTCCCCTCTCCCTAGCAATAGCCAGAGAGTTTTGAGTGAGCAAACGATGTGGCAACACCCTGTCTGCAATGGCCTCGCAGTCAACAATGTAGTATTGTGGTGCCAGCATGTGGACGACCCAAACCCAGTGAACATCCAAGGGAGGAGCAATCTCAGGGCCGCCTTTCTTCAGATAGTCGCTCAGTAGAGGCAGCCATAAGTACTCATACCTGTAAATGTGATTAGGAATAATACAGATTATAAATAAAGCATATGATTATGGGATGATTAGGAATAGGAATAAATTATAACAAGAATAGGAAACTTGGACTTAGGGGAAAAACACATGTCAGGGAATTCAAGCGACGCCTCACGCGGGTGGCGAACTTGGGATATATAAGGAGCGGGGTAGAAGCAGGGAGGCAGTCCCGCACCGGAGTTTGAAGCATTCGGTCGTCTCGTCGACGGGTGGCGCGAGTCGAGCTATACGCCAGGACTTGGACGGTTATTTACGACCGAGCTAGCAGATAGATAGGCACCGATATAATTGTGGGAAGATCACCGCATGTGCGAGATTTTTAAAAGTGTTGCAAGATACCCGCGACGAGTGAGAAAGTGCTCCAATACGAATCAAGACGAACACCAGTTTTAACGGCTGGAAACCACAACGCGAGCCTTGGATCACGAACGCCTGCTGATTTTCATCGAAGCCAACTTCTATAAACTACCTGCGGATCCAGAGTTCGTACGAAGAAGAAATAATGATCGATTCTCCCCGCCGCCGAGCCACTTGCATCCCCAGAGCAATTCGTCAAGAGCTGAGATTGACAAGCTCCCGTCAGACGCCCCGTGGATTGCTTTCCTCGACAACTCGGTGATGTACTTGTTCAGAATTTAAGCTAGGTAGTACTCTAGATGGGTTGGAGAATGTCTCATTAGTAGTTGATCTGTGTCGTCATCATTAGCACCTTTACAGCCCTGTAATTAAGCGCTCTGTCTTAGGATAGGAATTTCACAATATAGTGAGTGTTGAGACAATACATGTGTAACTCTATTAACGGGTAGGCTAGGCCTAGGAACTTGTTGCCATTTTTACCGTGCTCAGCTCTGTATGAAGATAGGTTCTTTTTCTTTTCTTAGTGTATGAAGTTTGATTATTGTTTGTGTCATTCTCCTTGTTAAATCGCATTGCCAGTAATAGAGAACCTTCATCGCGCCCCTTTTGACCACTCGGAACAATGTATAGAAAACCAACCTGACAGTAGAATGTTTATTTAAAAACTCTGCCGAGGATAAACTGGAATTAATAACTTACCGTAGGCTTTAAATCGTACAGGAAAATAAATAGCGAATGCCAATACCGAGCTCAAGAAATCAAACCTCCCACACTCACCATTCCAACAACAAAAAAAAGGAATTGATTTTATTAATTAAAAACAGGGAATGGTTTCATGTCAATGATCAGGGCCCCGACCTTAACGCCTCTGATGGTGGCCTACACCGACTGCGAGGGTCACTGAGCTGTGACGAGAGCGAGGAGCGGGCCCACGTCGAACTTTTCTCTGACTGCTGTTAGGATGCTAGCTGCATTGCCTCTCTGCACGGCCAAACCCAACCTTTGCTCCAACCATAGAGTCTCTCTACGTTCGCCGGACAATTCCGTAATGCGACGGCCAATCTGTGATATTAAAGGACCAGTCGTTTCACCATATGTGCCCGTCGTTTCTAATGCGACTGGCTCGAAACGATACCGAGCTGCCAACGCCGCGTATTTACGTCTCTTGCTATCCTCCGCCGCACGAGCCGCGAACCCAGCAGAAATAGCCGAATTATTGACGTGCGACTCAGCAAAAGTGTCGACGCAGGTTGCATCCCAGCACAAACACCTCCCATTAGAAAACGGGAAAACCGTTAAGCCATCTGGTCTCTTACCATCCCCTCTGTCCACTCCAACGGGTTCAAGGCATGAAGGAACGCCAGCGCTCTGAAGAGCCCTCCTGATCACATCGTTCAGAGCCGAGTGTCTTGGATGTCGCCCAGCGCTGTACTTACAAGAAAGGCCATGCAGCCCTCGTGCATCCATCCGCTTTCCGCACCGGCAAACTCAACCGGTATATTCAATTAGGAGTAAAAGACTTTCAGTCTAACTCTAATCAAATGCAAAAAAATAATAAAGTCAACCACCAGGACTAAATTAGTCAGCATTTAAAATGAAATGCAAATACATTTATTATTATAGAATTGCACTTGTTTCAGAAATGACATTGCTATATCTTATGAGATATTTGAGCAGAACATAATTTGATCACATGACACTCACCTAAACACTGCATTGACAACTGCCTGGCCACTGTAAAGTTCAGGATGGGCATCCACTACAGCTAAAAAATCAAGCAGACGTTTAGAGGCACGCAGGAGCTGTGTACTGATGCGCAGGACAGATGTATCTTTAGTCTTGCCAGGCACCTCTTTGAGGACGTGTTTGGGCACATTAGATGAAGCAGATGGAGCAATCTTCTCTTGAGCAACAGCAACCTTATAACGAGGAGGATTAGTCTTATCTTCTTCAGCAACAAAATTTGCATTATCATCATTTGTCAAGTCATGGTAACTTGGAGGGTGGTCAGACGATGGTGACAACATGGCATTTGTAGTAGTCCTCTGGAGGGAATCTTGAGTGGGCTCCAAATGCTGATTCACAGCATGAACAATCAAGTCAAGCAAACAGTCAGGCTCATCATGGTTTGCAGGAGGAGCACTTGGCACCGCTGAAGAAGAGCTGTCACTTTCTGTGGCTACAAAAGCATTATGGAGAGAAGCTTCTTCAGTGGAGTTATTTACAGTAGAACACGAAGTAGCTGTGTTTCCAGTATTTGGGTTTTGAGCAGCAGCAGGTGAAGAAGAAAATGCAGGAGAAGGAGAAACATTGGCACTTAGTGAGCTGGTAGATTGAGAGCCATCACTGGTGATAGGCTCAGAGCTCAGAGAGTTGTCAGGAGACTGATTATTATCACCTTGGAGGGGCATTTTGATGTAGATGCTATGGCTTGTTTAAGCTCTTGATATACAGAAATAACTACATTTCATTCAGTTCACTTCAAGAAAAATACTTGTACACTAAAGTAACCAATTAATATAAATTAAAGTGGCAATGAAAATGTTAATTTTAATAGCCTTTCAGACAGCCAAAATATGTTCAACCTGGAGTAAAAAAATATTTAATGCATTTAATAGTAAATCTTTTATTCTACTATCAAATTTTTTCATAAATTGAACAGCTGACAAAACATCTACAAAAATTTTGAAGAAGTTTGGATATGACACATTTTAAAGTATATTCTATAAAACAATAGTAGGTACATTAAAAAAATGAATTTCAAAAATACAAAAAAAAAAATTTAACTTTAGCTTCTTGAAAAGCATCTCAACCCACCAAAGAACTACACCAGTGATGATGGCATATAGGTAGGTATAATTCCATGTGACCTGCCACTGATGTCGTTGATAATAATTTTCTTTCAGTGCATGGAAGGTAATGGCAGGTATAGTAGCCAGTAAAGGAGTGACATACTAAAAATTTGAAGAACTGCAGCTATAAATTATCAAGTATTGTCAAGTGGGGTGATTTTGGCCACTGGGGTGACTTTGGCCACCAGTAACACAGAAACAAATGGCAGCAAAACAAAATAATAAACATTGGCCAAAGTCACCCCAGTCACTTTGGCCAACATTTATAATTTTGTTTTGCTGCCATTTGTTTCTGTTGTAATGGTGGCCAAAGTCAACTCCGATGGCCAAAATCACCCCACTTGATGGCACGTATATAAATAATTCAAACAATCTCAAAAAATAGCAAAATGCTTTACATGTTATAAACTCATTCCAAAAAATAATATTACAGATGTCAAAGTTGGATTTCTTGTCAGTGGATTTTTTGCTTAACATATTTTGGTGTACCACACAGATTGATTAACTAGTAATATAAATTGCCATGCACCTGGCACATTTTCCTGACAGAGGCAAACCAAAGTCTTTTTTGTTGACCTTCCTTATGAGTGGGTGGTTTCTGGTGCTGGTGGCTCACATTATTTCAAAACTAGTCAAAACCAGTATAAACTTATAAAGTGGGGCTTAACATTGTATCAAAACAGGTATAAACTTGAAAATCAGTATTCATTTTCATTACAATATGGTGCTGGTAGTGGCCAATGACGTCATTAGTCATTCATTGATGTGTACGTACCGTCAAACGGGGTAAAAAGGGACGGGTTTGAGTGTTTTTTGTTAATAACTTCTTACCATGAAACATTTCAGAAACAAGTTTAGGCTCATTGCAGCCCCCGCAACAAGTTTAGGCTCAAATTTTGCGGGGGCTATCAAATGGCACCTTCAAAAAAATTCCATATGCTATTTGTATGGTGCCAGACGCAAAATAAAACCATCCCAATTTACCCTTGGGAATAGGGTAATCCAGGACACTTGCAATAAAAGTTATTTTTAAAACGTTTGAGGCATGCAGAGTGTACTCATCCATTACTAACAGTACTCTCAAGTCCTCCTCTCTCATTGTAGATGATGTATATGTAAAATAAATGACATTTTCTGTGATTTTTACTTGTTTTTCCTTTATTGATATGATATTACCATATTCATTAATTACTGTATTATTAATGTGATATTACTGTATCCATGGACATGCCATTGAGCATTGACAACGACCTTGTCCCCTGCAAGCTTCATATCAGCAGCCATGTAGCATTTCTTCTGTATCTGTAAGCTTACAGGATGGTTTGTAATTTTGCACAATTTTAATTGAGTCAGGTGATTTCACTATAACAGAAAAGATCGTGAAAAACATACCCGAAACAGAAAATAAGGTTTTAGTGACAACCATCATATGTTTTGAAGAAATAAATCATAGTTTAGGTCAATTACTTTTCATTCTATGATGCCCGGTGCACAATTCTACATATAGCATTCTATGTACAATTTTGTGACAACCGATGATGCACTAATTTTTTGATAAGTGAATTTTTTTTAGCCGAGCAAGGTAAATGTAATCAAAATTCTTTGTTAATTATTTTTTTGTTAACTGGAGCCTTTGCTACCTGAGGTTCTACTGTAAATGCATTTTTAAGGGTGACCCTAATTACCCCGGGGGGGTGTCCCTTTTTACCCTGTCGCACAGAAATGGCTGCCATTTTTTTTGGAACAAGATAGGAAAATTCTGTCAATTACGTTTTCAAGCCGACACCTGGGTGCAACTTTTATGTAAGTAAAATTTTTTAGTACGGCGAATATTTTTTTTGCTCCGGACCTTAGCAGAGGTACTTTCCAAAATCGCACTTTTCACACTTTTTTTCAACGATTTTTCAAAGTTAGTAAATGTTTGATTTCTTGACTAGCTTTATACATAATAGATACCGTAAAATGGGGTAACTGTGACCCCTTTTTTTCATAATGATGCCATTTTTTTACTAGATAAGTTAAACTTCAATTGAAACATGCAAAATACAGGTCTATACTCTAGCTTTACTCACCATGAATTGCTGGCTCCTGCCTCTCATAGTTTTGATGTAATTTAACCCCAGCTCTTGGGGTTTCTTTGACCGGGTGGTAATATCAATTTTATTTTTTGGTAAAATAACTCCAAATAACTCCAGGTTGTGGTGCATTGTAGTAGAACTCTTCTAGTTACATAGGCAAAAGACAAATTTTAGGAAAGTGTTATAGTTTGCAAATGGGGGGCAATGGGCAAAATGTGACCACCTAATGGCAACTGTGACAAGGTAACATTGACCGGTTTGGAAATTAAGTTAAAATTACCATATATAAGACTCTGTAGAGTCTGAAACATAAATAAAAAAACATTAATAGGTGAATCAAACATAAATAATGTTATATAGGTACCTATGGTAATCTTAACTTAATTTCCAAGCTGATCAATGTTACCCCGTCATGGCTGCCATTAGGTGGTCAAAGATACCCCATTGGGGGGCGGCGCCCCCCATTTGCAAACTATAACACTTTCCTAAAATTTGTCTTTTGCCTATGTAACTAGAAGAGTTCTACTACAATGCACCACAACCTGGAGTTATTTGGAATTATTTTACCAAAAAATAAAATTGATATTACCACCCGGTCAAAGAAACCCCAAGAGCTGGGGTAACAGAGACCATCACTTTTTTTGAAATTACATCAAAACTATGAGAGGCAGGAGCCAGCAATTTATGGTGAGTAAAGCTAGAGTATAGACCTGTATTTTGCATGTTTCAATTTAAGTTTAACTTGTCTAGTAAAAAAATGGCATTGTTTTGAAATAAAAAAGTGGTCAAAGTTATCCCATTTTACGGTAGCTGGCAATGCCTGGCATAGTTAATTATTATTTTATACTTTACTTTTGCTAGCAATAATAAGAAGTCCAAGAAACTTGCAAGAAACTCCAGTATTTTAGCAATAATGCCTTATTTGAGATTGAAATTTTCAAAGAAATTTGGTGAGAGTGAGCAAAAGATAAAAATTTTGACCAAATTACTCCAGTTACTGCATAATAATATATTCATTCAAAAACTATTTTTGATATACTGTAGGGTAATAGAGAACCATTTTTGGGGTAAGAATGGACCATATGTGGTGTAAGATAGGACCGTTTGTGGGGTAAAACAGGATCATTTAGTGGTCCTGTCTTACCCCATGTCCGGTCCTTTTTTACCCCATTTTAGAATACATGTCAGGCAGTGATGGTAGCAGGTAGGAATGCCAGCTATGTCTCAAAAGTTGCTTATTACTTGAGGTTACCTGCCTACATCCACAAACCTGGCCAAAAAATTTTTTGTCATTAGACAGAGCTTATTTCCTAAACAGGGTCAACTATTTTGTGAACCTTCTTCACATTAGTTTTCTTTAAAAATTAGCCAGAAATTCAATATTTGCAGGAGAGGGTAGAAACAAACACTGAAATGACAGGCAATGATTGCTCTAACATATTCTTATGTCAAATTAAATTTAGTGCAATTAGAATGCACACCATGGGCTGGTCCTTTCTTACCCCATGAAGGCTGCGATCCTGTCTTACCCCATTTGACTATATATATATACCTCTTGGACACATTGACAGCCTGACACGTAGCAGGTCTACAAGTTTCAGTGAACCTTAAAGGCTTAAATATCTCCAAAATTAAAGAATGCATCTTGATGAGACTGTGCACACATCTTCAATAGCACCTAACGGCAAAGTTTATATTGTGATGATTTTTTTACTTCTGCTGTCTTTTTCTAGTAATATGGGAAAGCTTGTGCAGATGGATTGGATATATATTAGGCTCGTGACAAATTTAGGACAGCATAACTCACAAAGGAAAGTGAAATTTAAAAAAATTATCACAGCCTGAATATCACTGTTAGGTCTTTCTGAATTCATGTGCAAATTTTCATCAAGCTGCGTTGATCAATTAGAGATACTTTAAGCTCACTGAGACTTGGAGACGGGCCGTGAGCCCACCGTAAAATTGTTCGACAGGTTATAGTTACAAATACTGCCATATGCGCTTGCAGTAGTGTATTTTGAATATATAGCTTAGTTTTTGAGGTCAAGCTTGGTTTCTATTATATAAACTTATGCAATAAAATGTGCAAAAAATGAGCATATATCATGCTAGTTAAAATCTAAATTAATTCTGACAGCACTCATTGAAAAGTATTATCTTAGCTTTTTCATGATTGAAATGTCCAACTTATGCTTATTAGACCTGCTATGAAAATTCATTCCAAAAATTCATCCCAAAATTGTTGACGTGTCTGGTTAGACTCATGTTCGCTAACACGCACTGCTAAGATGAGCATTTTTGCTAACGTGTAACAATGTGCAAGGCTAAAGTGTGCTATGGTGTAATGCTGATGTGTGCTATTGTGCTCTGGTAATGTACACTAACTTGCTCTGCTGATGTGTGCTAATGTGAGATAACGCACTATGCTAACATATGTCATGGTAATGTGCCCTACCTACTAACGTATGTTTTGATAATGCGCTCCACTATTGTATGTTATGGTAATGTGCCCTGCTAACACCTGCTAATATGCTATACCAACGTCTTAGCTAGGTTAATCTAATTGACTATAGTATGCAAAGATACGCTATTCAAATGTTTAATAGGAATTTTAATGTGCCTTTTCTGAAATGTTACAAATCATTTTCAATAATAATGATAGTAGATATGACAATGTCAGTACAGGAGCTGCATTCTTGGT